GGTTTGGGCCACTCCCGCGCTCCCCTTCTTGCTGCCCCCGGTGTCCTGTCCCGGTGCCCGGGGCTGCTCTCGGTTACCGAGCCCTTTGGGAGTCCCCCGTTCTGCCGGCACCTCAACCCGGCGTCGTGAATCAACCAGCTCCGGGGTTAATGAGAAGCTTTTCTTTCGGGACCTTTCCAAACAGCTGGATTTTGATTCTTCAGAGTCACTGCAGGGAGATCTGGTGCTAAATCCCAGACCTTCCTTAACATCTTGCACAGCTCTGGGTTCTCTGTCCCCTCCTCTGGGCTCTGCTGTCTTTGACACCACCTCTTCCTACCTCGATATGCAGAATGCTCCTGATCCAGCTGAAATTCCAACACGTGCAATAAAGGACTGTTTTGCTGGAGTGACTTGGTATAAATTATTCAGAAGGAGCAGCCAGAAAAGTACAGAGATGCCTGAACGTGATGAAACTATAAATGTGAAGTGCTAAGAGCGTGGAGTGGCCTTAAAAATGTGGGAGCACAAGTTTCAGGACGTCTTAAAGAGTTCTGGCTTATGTCTTTTCTAGTGACTGAGATTCCAAATATGCTTCTTAACTTTCCACCTGGACTCCCTAAGAGTGGCTACTGCCTTGGTAGTAGATCCTTTCCAAAACAGGCCTGATTGTCTTGATGTACCTGTGGCTTCAATGGACCTGAACAGAAACACAATGGGGAAGAGGCATCCACAAACAGGGATGCCTGGGAGCTGCACTGGAATGCTTGGGCATCAAAACCAGGCTTATTTTCTGCACAATTAAACTGGATTTTGTTTTCTCTGTATTTTACTGAACTGTCCTTCCTTCTCAGGTGTGTGTCAATGAGCAACTTGTTATCTCTGCCAAGGGAGGCTCCTCATGAATGCCCCGCTCCTGTTTCCTGGGCAAAACTGACTCTTGTTTTGTGAAAGGCAATTTAACCTCCAAAGTGGGGCTTCAGGTGACTTCCTTTTGGCTCAAGATGAATCATAAAACAAAATTTAAGCTGCAGCATTACATGGCTGATTTTTTTTTATATGGACTTACATTTTTAAGGAGCAAAATCTGTGTCTAATCTCTGCCTGTGCATTCTATAGCTTTATTAAATGCATATGCTAAATATTTACTACTGGACATTGATGCTGTAATTACAGAAGGGCATTTCTATTTGCATGTGCAATATGGTTTTTGGAGAAAAGGGAATGCTCCTCTTGTAATCCTAATTAGATCCTTTTTCCTTGTGGATGATCATTTGTGCAGTTGGCAAAGGTTGGTCACTACTTTAAGCCAGGCAAGTGGAACATCTATCTGGACAAGAGTTCTCAGGTGAACAGAAGGGGGTAACTTGAAGATGCAAAATATTTCCAAGAAAGCATGAGTTTCAGCAAGTGACTCTGCAGTCTGAGTTTCCCCCATCAGCTGGAAGGGCTGATGGCTGCATTTCAGAGGGTGCCTGCAGTGGGAGATGTGCCTGGAGCTGGAGCACTGGGGAGCAGTTCCAGGCTCTTTCAGCATCACAAGAAAAGCATCACTTCTCACGTTTGCCACCGTAGTTCAACCTGTGCACCTAAAAGGACCATCTAAATCGCTGTCTTGGATCAAGATGTGCTGGCCTGGTTGTCATTTTCTCCGTTACATCAGGTGAATTAAGGGATGTAGAGAAGTCCCGTTTTTCCTGAGGTATCCGCCAGGACAGTGCCGTGTCCGTCGCTGCCTGTTTTATCTCCATGGAGCAGCAGGGAGCAGCACTAGAGACTCCTCTGGCTCCAGCACCAAGTGGGCACTTCACACCCCCAGAGCTCCCTGTCCTGCAGCTGAATTCCTCTGGAATTCCTTAGAGGATCCCGACTTGGTCACCTGTGAGCAGCTGCCTCCCTAACCTCCGGGGAGTTCAGAAACGTGATCATTTCATTTCTACATTTCATTTACTGTCTTAAAGTGCTTCCATTTACAGTGTGGCCAGTGGTCAAGCAGACCTGCCCTCAGATACCCAGAGTTCTGTAACCAAATGGTGCAAATCAGTTAAAGAAATGGATGGAAAATATGAGAAGGGATCAGGCTTTGCAGGGGCAGTTAGTGCACTTGCTGCTGGCATTGTGTGACACGAGACCAGGGATAAAAGAAAAGAGGAAAAAAGGAAAGGCGTTGCCTTCCAAGCTTTATTTTTGTCTTATCAGAGAACTCTTTAACCTCCCCTCCTTTCCTCCTTCACAAAAGAAAACTAAGTATGGACAAAAAATAAATCTATATGGTGGTGTTGGAATCTGTGGTAAAAAGCTGGATTAAAACTCCTCCTGTTGACAGCAGGACAGGGCAGTTAAAGCTGTTCTGTAGGGAACTCTTGCAGTGTGAGGCTGTCAGCTGCTTCCATGAACAGAAGACTGGTTTCAGCTCTCGGAGGAAACGGCTGCTGCCTTAAGAATGAACACCAGAGTGAATGAAAAATGTTTGCATAGGAATTACATCCTCTTAGGTTTCATAACTCAAGCCTTCTTACATAAATGCCCAGCACATTTGGTTTAGAAGCTAGAACAAGAGAGGGCACATTAGGGCTTCCTGGAGCCTGCCTGTGTGTAGGAAATACAGAGCTTAACATTGCCATCCTCTTCAATCACAGCTTGTTTCTCACTCCTGGTCTGGCTTCCAGCTTATCTCTCACCCCTTTCTTTGTGGCTAGTGTTTTTATCAAGGGCACTATCTCAATGGCATCTGCAGAGGAAATGATAATTTATATCTGATGCTTTTTGTTTTATTTAAGTCAGTTGATAGACAAGATCCTGAAGGAACTCAACTGGGTAGCAATAGGAGGCTGGTAGCACCTGAATGGGGACTTAGCAAGGGATCACCTGGTGAAACTGCTCTTCTTTTCCCATAATTCATGTTGGTTGACACTCTTCTTTCTTCCTGAGCAGGTGTTTGTGGTGACAAGATGGAGCCTTCCCCGTTTAATAGAAGACAATGGACTTCCCAGTCTTTGAAAATCACTGCGAAGGAGCTTTCTCTAGTCAACAAGAACAAGTCCTCAGCTCTTCTGGAGAGGTTCTCCAAGTAAGTGCCATGAGGCTGCTGAGCACAAGCTGTGTGTGCAGGTTGGCAGCTGGTTCCTTGAACAATGATTGCTTCCTTGGCAGTTGCTTTGCTTCTTAAAAATAATACAGCTCTGTGGGCATTTCTGTTCCTGGTTTAGTATGTGCTGGACAAAAGAATTTTCTCCTTGCTGACATTTTATTGTTTCAGCAATCAGAATTGTATCTTTTTTTTTTTTCCTGCTGTCAGAAAATAAAGTTTTCTGGCAAACTACAAATTGCATTTTGTTTTTGAGGACAGAGAGTATTGGAATGTAGGTGGCTATTCCCAATCAGCAGAAATGGTCTTTAACTGCTCAAGCACTAGTGGGTTTCTCTGTTAACGTGGCATTTCCTGCCTGGTACAATAAAAAGCAGCAGTGAAGCATTATCAGTGAACTGGAGACCAGTTAGAAACAGGAGTTCTGTGAACTGTGGGTGGTAGATGTAACCCTCCAGTCAGAGCTCCCTCAGGGAATGTCACAGTAGCCACATTCCCCACTGGTGTCCCCATCCAGATGTCTCACAGAACTTGTGTAGAAAAGGAATATTACCCTTCCCTTTTCTCTGAGATTGATGATGGGTCACAGTGAAATCATAAAGTACTATTTTATAGAAAGCTGAGTGGTTGGTCACCTGTAAGTGTTTGCTGGAGGAGCTTTTATTTCTTTGTGGAATTACATAAACCACAGCTTGGATTGTCAATGGGATTTGGGCAACCACGACTCCTGGGTTATTGCATTAATAACATAGCAAAGTTTTGGAGTAATTAAATCTTAAGTGTGGGAGAAATTTTATGGAGTCTGTAGGGAAAGGATAATTGCAATCTGGACTTTATAACTCCAAGTTACTCCTGAAGTGCTCTATCCCAGGGAGAAGCTGCTTGCTCTGACCACTTTTGTTGAGGTAATTTATTCATTCATGGAGGCTTGATTACTGAACCTGGTCATCTAACTGAATGTTGATAATCCCTTGAAAAGGGCTTACTGGCAGTAATCCAAACTGCTGTTCCTTAATCAAGTAGGGTCTCTCTGCATAAGCAGTGTCAGTTCCTTGGAAAAACAGTCCTGCTTACAGGCTTTGCCAATACAGACACTCACAGTGAGGAGCACAATTGTTCTCAGTTGCTGTTACCTAAATATTTATATGTGAAAATATTTTTTTGTCATTCCATATAGTGTTGAGATGATCAGTTTTGTCAGGTAGAGACATGCAAGTTGCAACAGCAGAGACTTCCAGCATGCTGTGGTGGGTTAGCTCCCAGGGTGAGAGCTGGCTGGGACTCTTCAGTCCTTGTTGGGTTTCCAGGGTGGTTCTTGCCTTTCATCCCCTGATCTCTCTCCCTCAGCCTGTCTTGTGCAAATTTTGGAACCCTTATAGTGCAGAGACATAAGTGAATATGTTTGTGGTGGTTCAAGAGGGCCAGCTATGCTCCTGGAGTAGCTTTCACTCTGTACAATAAATGCAGCCTGTAGAGCAGAAATAAGTGAGGTGCAATTTGTCTAATCTAGTGTAACAAGAGGAGAAATCTGCACAGGAGCATCCCATTCACAGCAGAAAAAA